CATGTGATATTTCAGTTTTTCTTTTTTAATAAATCTGCAAAAATGTCAACAATTCTGTGTTTTTCTGTCAATATGGGGTGCTGTGTGTACATTAATGAGGAAAAAAAATTAACTTAAATGATTTTAGCAAATGGCTGCAATATAACAAAGAGTGAAAAATTTAAGGGGGTCTGAATACTTTCCGTACCCACTGTATATATATATATATATTATAAAATTAATACAATTATAAAATAAAAATCTTACATATCATATATATATACAGTATATGTATATATATATCCTATTTCAGGACATTTTGACCAATCAGTAATCACCAGTAATCATCATCAGACCAATCACAATATGGCATTCATATGATTCAAGCTGTGCTGAGTTGTTTTGTTTGTTCTGTCTTTGTTTAGTCTCAGAAGGACCCCCATCTAGTGGAAAAGATCATGAACGATCTGGACTCCAACAAGGATAACGAGGTCGACTTTAACGAGTTTGTTGTGCTGGTGGCGGCGTTGACGGTTGCATGCAATGACTTCTTCCAGGAACAACAGAAGAAGAAAGGCAAATGAATCGGATGCATGAAAGTACCTGCACGTGTAATGCTCTATGATGCGTTAAACCGTTTGTTATGAACCAGACCACATGTCCTTATGTTAGCCGTTTACTGTCAATCCTTGGTTTGTATCAAAAGCAAACTGACCAATAAATAACAATAAATTATGTATTTCATTTGTTTAAAATGATGTTTTTTTTCTGAAATGAAAGGATGTACTTATAAACTGAAACCTGGACTTTATTATCATATATCTGTAGAATACAGTGAATCTGATAGTGTGTATGTCTTCTGCTTCTATGTTCCTCTTATGTTTTTTTCATTCATTAAATAATAAAACCTAAACTGAATCATGTTGTTCATTAACTGATATAATATTAATATACCAACCTATTGAAGTGCTGAAATCTGTTTTGTATCTTTGTAATACACAGATAACCACCAAATGCAGATGGTGATGAGAAAGTCACATGATGAACCAAAGCCCATCACAAGCAGCTTTTGAATATTAACATATATAGAAGCAAACACTATATTCATATTATATTCAATATATTATATTCACACAAACACTAAACACCATCATGGTAACACACATGAAACTGAAATAATGCAATAAACATTCATTTAACAACATTAGGTGTAACGCACAACCCTAATATACAAAACTGATAAGAAAAAACTAAGAAGAAACATAGTTATTTCAACAAAAAAACATCAAATTTGAAATGTAACGCAGGGAATTCTGGGAAAGTCAATTTACGGTTATTCACTGTAATTTATACAGTCTTTTTCACTTCCAAAAACGGTATACTACCGTAAAATTAATGTCCAATACATGTAATGTCCAATACAGTTTTTCACCGTATATAGTAGGGGAATTTACCTTTAACCATTTAACAGGTTTTTACTGTAGCATTTTTACAGTCTTTTACCATTAAATTCACGGTCATTCTTTACAGTATATATATATATATATATATATTAGATATATTATTAGATGAATAACTTAAAACTAAATAGACTTGAACTATTTCCTTGACAACTAACTGAAATTTTTTTTATGTTGAAGCACTAAATTACTAAATGAAAATTAATAAAATCTGAACTAAACCCAAAACTACCATTATTAACATTTAAACCTATATATATATATATATATATATATATATATAATCAGTTCATAACAAGTTAAAAATCACAGCTGAACATAACATCTGTTTTATTCATCACACTGTAAATAGAAGGTTAATTTAAGAGCATTGCATTGTGGGATACATGACTTACTGTATGTGTTGATGCGCTGTTGTTCATTTTCACCAAATGTATCTTTTGTTGGCCACAGAAAGTCATACAGGTTTTGAATGACATGAGTGTGCGTAAATGATGGCGTAATTTTGGTTAAACTATCACTTTTACGGTTATGGGGTTTGACAGGAATTTATTCCATTTAGATGATGTTGATCCAGGAACACATAATACTTTATCACTCTGCTATCAGCACTATAAAGTGAAACCATGCACTGGATGACCACGTGTTCTTGTGCTTTATGGTCCATCTTAAAGATTTGAAGTGTCTGTGTTGGGTAATACATCAGACAAAAGGCAGGTTATTTACCAGAAGTCTTGTTTTCCCTCCAAACACTGCTGTGCTTCAGTAACGACTTCAGAAACATTTCATTTCCGTTGTCTGTCCCTCAGCAGTGCGCTTCATCTTCTCTCTATAGAGCACTTGATATTCTCTCCAGAGCTAGGCTCATTGTATGACGTACTTTCTCCTGAGCGTCTACCGTCTCTGTCCCATGCACTATCAGTGATAAGTGTAGTGTGCTAATAATGAAGCTCACTGTGTAAAATGTCATTTTAATTAACAGGCACCATACTGTAATTGCATTATGACATTGTTGGATAAGAGAGTTTTATGAGTGCACATTTCCAACTGAGGTGCATATATTCAGTTTTTCAGCTCAGTGACCAGTTCAGACTGGATGCAATGTCATTAAAATAAAACTTTTATGGCTTTTAGTCCACGTCTGGTAGTTTTGAAGCATAATCTATAAGCTAGTGTGGTCCTAAAATTTGAAGAAGAAAAAAATTTACAGTATTATAGTTCAGAAATATATGTCCACTCTATTTGAATAATGAAATAAAAAGTTTATTTATTTATTTATATATAATGAATAACTTAAAACTAAATAGACTTGAACTATTTCCTTGACAACTAACTGAAATTTTTTTTATGTTGAAGCACTAAATTACTAAATGAAAATTAATAAAATCTGAACTAAACCCAAAACTACCATTATTAACATTTAAACCTATATATATATATATATATATATATATATATAATCAGTTCATAACAAGTTAAAAATCACAGCTGAACATAACATCTGTTTTATTCATCACACTGTAAATAGAAGGTTAATTTAAGAGCATTGCATTGTGGGATACATGACTTACTGTATGTGTTGATGCGCTGTTGTTCATTTTCACCAAATGTATCTTTTGTTGGCCACAGAAAGTCATACAGGTTTTGAATGACATGAGTGTGCGTAAATGATGGCGTAATTTTGGTTAAACTATCACTTTTACGGTTATGGGGTTTGACAGGAATTTATTCCATTTAGATGATGTTGATCCAGGAACACATAATACTTTATCACTCTGCTATCAGCACTATAAAGTGAAACCATGCACTGGATGACCACGTGTTCTTGTGCTTTATGGTCCATCTTAAAGATTTGAAGTGTCTGTGTTGGGTAATACATCAGACAAAAGGCAGGTTATTTACCAGAAGTCTTGTTTTCCCTCCAAACACTGCTGTGCTTCAGTAACGACTTCAGAAACATTTCATTTCCGTTGTCTGTCCCTCAGCAGTGCGCTTCATCTTCTCTCTATAGAGCACTTGATATTCTCTCCAGAGCTAGGCTCATTGTATGACGTACTTTCTCCTGAGCGTCTACCGTCTCTGTCCCATGCACTATCAGTGATAAGTGTAGTGTGCTAATAATGAAGCTCACTGTGTAAAATGTCATTTTAATTAACAGGCACCATACTGTAATTGCATTATGACATTGTTGGATAAGAGAGTTTTATGAGTGCACATTTCCAACTGAGGTGCATATATTCAGTTTTTCAGCTCAGTGACCAGTTCAGACTGGATGCAATGTCATTAAAATAAAACTTTTATGGCTTTTAGTCCACGTCTGGTAGTTTTGAAGCATAATCTATAAGCTAGTGTGGTCCTAAAATTTGAAGAAGAAAAAAATTTACAGTATTATAGTTCAGAAATATATGTCCACTCTATTTGAATAATGAAATAAAAAGTTTATTTATTTATTTATATATAAATGTATTCATTTAAATATTTTTCATGTATTATTATGTTCCATGTTAAATATTTAAATACATGCCCAGTTTATAGCCTTATAAGTAATGAATAATAAAGTAAGTAGAATAATAAATTTTCATTTATTATTTATATTTTTGTTTAATAATAAATAATTACATTTTTCTTGTTTTTTATTTAATTTTATTATTTATAGAATACAAAATAATACATATTTTGTATTAATTATATATAAATGTATGTATTTATTTAGTAGTTTTATTTTAATTTTTATTATTCATGAAAAATATATATTATTATTGTTTGAATTAGCAATAGTTCTAAATGTTTTTAAATATTTCTGTTAAATACTTAAATGTATGTCCACTTTATAGCCTTACAAATGATAAAATATTCATAGAATAATAAAATTACAAACAAAATGTATTTTTATTAATTAATAATGAATAAATGAGTGATTATAATTTATTGTAACCATATTTGAACTGAAGGTTTATGTTTTTGTTAGAAAAGATCAGATAGAGTGTTTTTATTTATTTATTTTTTTGCTACTATTATTTACATTATAAGTCACTATCTATGCATTTGGTATCGCAATAATGACCCTCCTGTAAAAGAGGCTTGTTTGTGGATCTCAACTCGGTCAAATAAAGGCTATGAAGTTTAAAGGGGTCATATGATGCGATTTCAAGTTTTCCTTTCTCTTTGGAGTGTTACAAGCTGTTCGTGAATAGATAAGATCCCTAAAGTTGCAAAGACTAAAGTCTCAAACCAAAAGAGATATTCTTTATAAAAGTTAAGACTCGACCACGCCTTCCTAAAACGGCTCGTTCTAACACACCCCCACATGTCTACGT